GCATATAAATAGACTACTAGGCATGGCGTTGGCCCAACCCCGAACATGTTACCATGGGTAGTGTGTCTATAGAAGATAATATCATCATGATTTAACAGAAAAAGATTAATAAATGGAGAGGTTAGACCAAATGTTTGATTATTTGGGAGAGAAAAATATGTTTACAGACTTACCTCATAAAGGTGAAGTAAAATTATAGTAGATTAAAGAGTTAAATGAGAAATAGAAACTGCAGTAAAAATAAAAGATATAAGTGGATATTTACTGTGCTGTTGGCTGAGGAGGAGGATTTTATAGTAGAGCAGGAAAAGCTATCACAAAAGATGAGAAAAATATTGATAAACTTGACTACTTAGAATTTGTGAAATTGTGGGCTATTGAAGAACAGCATAATGTGAATGCCAGCTATATCATGGACAATGGAAGTGTTTCTGTAGTAGTATGATGGGAGAAATTAAAGTTTAGAAGGAGTAACTTAAAGTCTCCATAGCGCCAAGTTTGAACACAAGTCATGTAAAGTTTATCTCTTCTTCATTAAAGAGTATAACATACTCTTTTGAGGTACAAAGCTTTGCAAAATTTTATAGTGATTATTTTAGGTGCTAGAATTATGGATTTTTCTTTTATTCACAATTTTATTTTCTAAATTGAGTATGCATTAGTATTAGGATTTCAGAAGTATATCAGTTCTTTAAAAGTAACGAGGTGTGAACTAAGAAGTGATTTGTGGGTGGATTTGATTGACCTTCCTGATACCTAGAGAAGTAATGGATTAGAATCCAAGGTCTAGGAATGTACATAGTTACATCTAGCATACAAGAAATGTTGGGCTTTTTATCTCTAGTAATTCTGTAGACTTATCCACATAGACTTTGTTCCAAAGTCTGCTCTGAATGATTTACTACAGATGATACTTTTTAGTATTTTGCTTCTTTTTTACTTTCGAATTTAAAGTGACTCATTTCAAATAGATAACAGACAACAATTTCTGTAATTTTTTGTTTAATTTACTGGTCTGTGTTTAGTAAATTAGGCAAACACATTTACTTCTTGCCTCTGCCCCCTAACTAAATCCATTTAGCAGGGTGGTTGCAATGAAACACTGTTTAGAAATATTTTGGATCTTTTAATTTATTAGATTAAACAATTCTTTTTTTTTATTCTAAAACCTAATTTTTAAAAAATATATGTAATTTATTTAAATCACCAATCATCTACTAAGTGCCAATCATTTGTCAACTCTTAGGCAATTAATTAATATATGTAATTTATTTAATTCACCAATCATCTACTAAGTGCCAATCATTTGTCAACTCTTAGACTAACCAAAGAACAAAACAGACAAAAAAATTCTGCCTATATAAAGTTTATCACTTTATAGTGGGAGAAGGCAGGAAATAAGCAGTGAACATAATAATAAGCAGATAAGTGTACAAGTTTCTTCTGACAAATGATGGATAAAGAACAGCTATAGAATTATAGAAAGGGGGGTCAGGAATTGTAGGGGATGATAGGAGGTGGGTTATAAGTATCAACAGGCTGGTTAGATTAGGCCTCATTGAGAAGACAGCAGACATCTGAGAAAAGATGTCAAAAAGGGGTTGAGGAATTATCCACGTGTGGGAAGAGCAGCCTAGACACAGGGAACAGCCAGTGCAAAGACCATAAGTGAGAAGCATACATGGTACATTGGGAGAATGGGAGAGATGAGAGTGGCTTGTGCATGTCAGGCGGAGAAGTAGCAGGTCAGCTTAGAGAGGTCTTGGGAAACAAGTTACTGCAGGGCTTCATAGGCTGATCTGGAAGGGAGGTGCTGTTGCTTCTGAAAGAAACGAAGAGCTTTGCAGTTTTGAGCTGATGAGTGATGCCAGAGGGCAGTCAGTCAGTATGCTTTTGAAATTCACCGTAGTCTGCCTAGGAAAGATGACATTGGAACTGGCCCTGGAGGAGAAGAAAGTATTTGCCAAATGAAAAAGATAGAGATCTACTTTGGTAGGCTTTAAGAATATTTCCATCCCCTACTTAGGAAAATAAATGTACTTTTAAACCAAAGTCATGTATGTTACTTGATTTAAGGTAAAAACTATAATAATGTCATTTAAAGAAATTACTCCTTTGTGTCCTCTTATATTTGTTTAACTGTGCTCACTCTAAAAATTGACATTCTAATTCAGTAAGATTTAAGGAGTTTCTGTAATCCAAGAGTCATTTCCTTTTTACTCCAAAATGCAACTAATTATTATGCAATATGTTATTAATTTCTTTAGGAAGTGAATAATTGCCATTTACTTTTGTCCATGAAACCATAAATTAAATGAACCATCTTGTATCTCCTTAAAGTAAGATTCATTTATATCCTTTTTTATTTAAAAGGCCTCTACATTGAGTTGTGAAAAATACAAGAGAATTTCTGTACTTACATATTTAAGATCTGGTAGGGGACATGGACATTATGTAAATGGTATATAATAAAAGAGAACGGGAGTTTATTGAATGTGAGTCCTAGATCATCCTCCATACCTACCTATTTGATCTGTCAAGCCTTCCACAAATTCATCCTCTTCAGTTGCGCTTTAACTTCTGATCCATACTTAATGTTTTCTTCTCTGACTCCTGGAGTTACAAAGTTTGAACCACCAACTTACTACTTGGGAATCTATGTGTCTTCTGTATATGTCATATGTTTTAGTATTGTACAAGTGTGTGAGTTTGTTGAGAGCTAGGACTCTGCTAGGTACTTTGTCCTTTAGTTAATTGGCAACCAAGCATAACAAAGGGTAGTGTAGAATATATTTTTAACTGTCAATATGTTTCACTTAACTGTGTTTCTGGAAAGTTTTACTTGAAGAGTTGACTGTGAAGTAAACTTATTGAAAGGGTTATTTTTTCACTTGGCTTCCAAAATCAGAGTAAGATTTAATTCCTGATTAGGTCAGAGATTTACTTAGATTTATATTTAAGAGAACAGTAATATTTTCTCTTGTGTAGGGAAGTATTTTTTGCTTAGAAAATACTTTATCTTCTCTGATTTTTAAGAAGACTTTATAACAAATTCATCTAAAAAAATTCTGATATATAATATATAGTGTTTCATCATCATTGAGAAATAATAATTTTGACATTTTAATTATCTCCCTCAGTCATTTGTACATCTGAACAGTGTTAAATATTTTAATAAAATCTGATATTTTGAGAATTTTGTAAATTTTAGATAGAGGGAAGTGAAGTACATTTTGGTAATACTGTCATTGTTCATATGGTATATCATCACTTTCTTACAGAATAGACAGGTGATTCTTGAGATCACAGGGATCCTTGGTATTTGGATAAGATGATTTATGTTCTTACATGGCTGGACAGTGATGTGTTTGATTCTTGCACTAAATCAGTTTAGAGTCACAGTATTGAGGAATGTCATTTTACCAGTCCATTTCTGCACATAAGAAATAATGTGTCAGGGACTAAACTATAATGGAAATTTATTGAGTCTCTTAAATTTTTGTATAACCAGCCTAATTCTAAACATACTAATTTACAACTGTCAGAACTTAACCTTAGACATTCTCAGATGTTGGGATATCTCACAAACAATAACAGAAAATATCAAAATATTAAATGATTGCTGTAATGAAAGAACATCTAAGTAAATGTAATTATGCTTTGAAATATTATTGCTTAAGAACCTGGAATGTCTATCTACATGTCTTAACCAGGACCAAAGTTTTTTGTTGTTATTGTTTGTAAATATAGTGTGAGGCAAACATTTATTGAATGTAAACATAAGAAATACTGAGAATGTTTACAATATACACAAGATATTTATGTTTATCAACTTTAGGGCAGGCATAGTTGCTAGGCTTGGAACCTGGGCGGTATAGTATTTTCTCACTCAAGTGGGAAACTCTAGTGCTATCTGATATATGTGGCAGTTAGAGTTAGAAAAAAAACCTTATATTAATTTATGGGTTAATGATGTGCCTGCACATCAGTCAACATATATTTATTGAGCACCTTTCTGTAAGTTATCAGCACAGAAAACAAATACAGTAGTAATTTAGATGAAAGAGGACATTTTGTGTTGAAGTCAATGTGTCAGGCTTTGGGAAGAAAGTAAGTCAGATTGTGAATGATATAATGAATGAGTTGAAGGAGAGCCAGTGAGGTCTAGAAAAGGAATCATTTCACACACGGTCGGCAGGATCCCTAGTTTCATAATTTTTTTCATGATGCCAGTAAATTATTCCTTTGTCTGTTTCAAGGATTTTCTTTTTAAAGCATCATTCCATGTGTTATTTTAAAGTGTTCAAATGTTACTGGTTGATGAAAAGTTCCCTGGAGTTTTATTTGCTCTTGTGAGAAAAACTGTCCAATGGAGGACTTTAAAAAAATAATGTATATATAAAATGTTTTTGGTTTTTGGAGAGCACTAGCCAGAAAATAAAGAAATTTAGGTTTTAATCCTAGTTTCATACCTTACTTTGTGACTTGGGACAGGTCATTTTATTGTATTCGCTTCCTTAAGTGAAAATAATAAAGCCTTACTTAACCTTACTTCACGTGGAAAAAATGTTTTTTTATTGACTACTTTTGAAGACTTTTAGTTAGACACTATCTATTTTGCAGATGACAAATTATGATATGTGAAATTTTAAAAGGTGATAATTTAAGAAAATTAATTTCCAGATTACATTTATTTCCCCCTCCCCCTTTTTTGGTAGCGGATACTCTGTTTTCAAGGAAGCTGAATGGAAAATACAGACTTGAGCGGCTTGTTCCAACTGCAGTGTATCAGCACATGAAAATGCATAAGCGGATTCTTGGACATTTGTCATCTGTGTACTGTGTAACTTTTGATCGAACTGGCAGACGGATATTTACTGTAAGTGATTTCTAAAGTATTATCTTTATTCTTTATCGAATTGAAGAATAACTGCTCATAGGTCAACTTTAGTAAAACTTCTCATTGTTTTCTTTTAATGAGAAATGGGAAACTGAGGTAATTTAACTTAACTAAAACAAAAGTTTTTACTTAAGTTTGGACTTCATCCAGATTTGAGATATTCCTAAAAGACATGTTGTAGCACAGTCACAGTCAGTCTTACATCATGAACAAGTTCTCAGCATTTCTCAGATACACTGTCTGACATTTTACAAAATGTCTTACCATTGATTCTAAACTAAGGATAGTTCCCAAGTTTCTTAAGCTAATCGTGTATGATTATTAAGTGTGCCTTTTATATTATCTGTAGATAACCGCTTGCTGTGTAAAATTTCCCTTTCAATAGTGATTAAGAAAAGACAACAGTTCTGAGTATATCTAATAAGCAAATATATCAACAGTTCTGAGTATATCTAATAATCTAGTATATCTAATAAGCAAAGGTAATGCTTTGCTTATTACCTTTTATCCTTAACACCACAGTCTTCGAAATATCTGACGTTGTGTTTAAAGAACCTGGTTAAGTTTGTTTTTTCTTTTAATCTGCTGAGTGGAGAAAGCGGAACCTTTGAGCTTTCTTTTAAGTGAATAAGTTACTTTTGGAAATATTACAATTTATATAACGACTGCATGCCTTTAAGGGTAGTACTTATTATAGTATTTTGGTTATATTTATTATTAAACAATACCTTGTGGGCTGAAGGTATGCATTCGTTTACAAGGTCATTAATGTCCTTTGAAATAAGAAAATGGGAAATGGAAGTTAACATGGAAATTTTCATCTCTGTCTTTGAAGAGTGCAGCTGAAATGTTACCATTATAATTATAGAGTCCTCTTTTTAGTAAATTTTCATATAAACTGGTACCTATTTATACCTACTACTTCTCCTCCACACATACACCCACCTAGTCATCTGTAGAATAGCTAAAAAGGATGCAGGAAATCATTTCTATACTTTTCTTTTTCCTTTGGTCTAGTCTACCTTAGGCATTTGAAGATCATTTCTTAATTCAATATTTTCCCCTTTTACCTTTTCTTTTATTGCTATGTGCTCTGTGAAACAAAGTAAAGGTGAAATTTTTTATACTTTGTAATAGCTATTCTCCCCTCTGAAAATACCTATCTCTATACAGTATTTATTAATGCACTTGATACACCCACATTAATAATTTTGCTCTCAAAAAAGTAATTGAGAACTATTGTAGCCATTCAAGTATAATATAGTAATATTCAAATTCAGCTCTCAAAACTTAAACTACATTAGGCATTTCTAACATTTGAAGGATTCCTTTTAAAAAAAGTAATAAAATAATGAAAAGGAAGCATTACATTGTATTTGTATTTCATTTTGGTGAGTATAAAATTAATGCCATTGTACTGAGATTATAAAAAGTATAAAACTTCTTAATTTTTAAAAAAGTACCTTGTGTTTAAAAATGATAGGGATTGTAGTATTTGTCATACTTGAAGCATTGTGATGAGGTGATATGAATTAGCTATGTAATTTTTTGGAATATTGAGGGAAAGTGCAGTGAACTAATGTGCTTATTGCTGTCTGATGAGTTCAGCAGCATGGAAGAGCATGCTGTTTACTGTCTCTGGGTCAGATCCAGCCTGCCTCTTGCTCTATTAAATACAGTTTTATTAAAACACAGTCACCCTCTACTGTTTTTGTGTTGTCCGTGGCTGCATTTGCACTATAATAGCAGAGTTGAGTCATTACAATAGAGACCATGTGGACTATAAAGCCTAAAGTATTTATGATCTCACCACTGCAGAAAAATTTTCTATCCTTTTCTAGACGTTTAATTCCTACTTCTAAGTGTGTTTGATTTGGGGAATAGGAATGATATATGAAGAGGAAGTTATTTTCTGATGATTACGTTTAGTGGAAAGTGCATAAATAAGAGGAAGAAAGTAGCATTGTACTACGACAGTGGTGTCACCATAAACAGAGATGTTTATGTTTTAGGTATGTGATAGAATTTACTACTTGTACCAAACTCAGTCTTATTTGTAATATTTTACTGGTGATTTGCAGCTGTATACTTCGGACTGTTACTTTATGATAAATACAAAGATAGAGTGACGGGGGTGGGAGTGGGTTACTGTGTGTGTTCATTGTTGGTGTCACAACCAAAGTAGGATGATACTGAATGTTTTTCTCATTCTATTAAGAACATACCAGACTCTGGCAAGTGCTTTGAAAGTCAGTCTTGAAAATTGATAGGATGAGGCCTAAGATCATGATTGACCAGTGAACAATTCCTGTGAGAGAAGACATTGTTGTTATTTTTTAGAGTAACATTTCAGTAATGGACCAAACAGTATTTCCTTATTATGTATTTAGTATTTTAATACCTTACAGATTTATTTCTAAGGTACTTGCATACATGCATTGGAAAGCTTTTTCAAAGAGATTTGGTCTCTTGAGTCCTTTCTGAATAGGCAGAGCTAGAAGCATTATCCAAGGTCTTACTTCAGTTCATGAACTTGATACTGTGTGCTTATGTTGGCAGCCCTGTGCAGACAGCATGGTAAGGTTTGCTAACTTTGGTATGTCGGTGTCTTGCAGCTGTGTTTGTGTCAGCATGTGATCGCGCCTTACCGTTGTCGGGTGTGTTTGTGTGCCATATGATGACAGCTCTGATGGTCATTCCAGAAAGAGTTCCGAAATTGCTTTGAAGATTGGACTAGCACTTTTTCTGAGACAAGTTCATGAACTTATTTGTCAGACCTCAGTGTAGTGCTGTGGTTAAGAGCATCAATTTTTGTATCAGAGGGCTCTTAGACACAGTTGTACTACTTCTTGTAGTATAACTTGGGCATATTGCCTCTCCCCTTCTAGTGTTAGCAACTCTTAAAAAGGGAGGGAGAGGAGTAGACGATCATAGTACCAACCTGATAGGATTTTTGTGAGTTTACACAAAATAATGCATATTACCTGCTGCTACTACATAGAGTAAGTTTTATCTGTTTTAACTTTTACCTAAGAAAATCTTATTTATAAACATTATGTAATACTGTAAAAGGAAATTACCATAATTGATAAGTGAAGTTATGTATTAGGAAAATGTATCATTATTTTGCACTAGAATATTTTATTAATGGATGCTTTTCCAGTGTAATAATTAGAAAAACCCAAGGAGGGAGGTAAGGTAGAATAATTAGCAAGTCGGGTTTTGCTCTCTGATTCTTTCTTAGCCTTTCTTTTATTTTTTGAGACAGAGCCTCAGGCTATCCCCCTGGGTAGAGTGCCATGGCATCATGTTCACAGCAACCTCCAACTCCTGGGCTCAAGCGAGTCTCCTGCCTCAGCCTCCCAAGTAGCTGGGACTACAGGCGCCCGCCACAACGCCTGGCCATTTTTTGGTTGCAGCCGTCATTGTTGTTTGGCGGGCCCGGCCTGGGGATTCGAACCCGCTACCTTAGGTGTATGTGGCTGGCGCCTTAGCCGCTTGAGCCACAGGCACCGAGCCTCTTTCTTAGCCTTTCAGTGTTTTTACTTAGTTTCAGAATCACTCCCTCAAACAATTCTTCCCAAAGTAGAGCTGATGAATTCTCAGAACTAAGGCACTCATAATGCAAAAATACATTGAATATAAAAAGTAGGGATTTCCCCTCCTTTTCAGAAACATAAAATATCTTGAGATTAAAGTAAAAGAGCATAAAATGTTTCCATCAATATAGTAAGTGTAATAAAGAGTTTGAGTTTATGGGTTCCTTAATCAACTGCAGTCTTTTTATGAGCCAGCCACTGTTCTGAGAACTTGGAATGTGGAATCGAAAGATCTGTTCTTGGGGTATTTACAGATTGTAAAATGTAAAATACCTATAATATCTATGGCAATGTGGTAAGCACCTTGACAGAGGTGTTCAAGAGACTGAGGTATCATAGTGGAGAAGTACCGAGCTTTATGTTAGGAAATAGTAAGGGAAGTTTACTAGATTAGTGATAAGTCAGCTGAGTTGATTTGGATTGGTAACACAGGGAAGGACATTTACAAACCTTGGGAGAATGTAATATGTAATTGTGTTTTATTTGATATGGCACAGAATAAATATGACTCATTACTAAGCAAGAGCTAGAAATGTTAGTGGAGGGGAGCAGAATCAGCAAGATCCTTCTGTGATACCTGCTGAATAGTGGTTTTGTTTTATGAAGGCATTGGAGAGTTCATGAATGATCAGTTTAGAGAGAAGAGTGAGTAGGTTTCTCTTTCTGATGGTTGCTTTGGCATTACTGTAAAGCATGGATTAAACTACATATACAGAGAAATTTGTGAAAAGGCAGTGATCTGTGAAAGAAGTCATCAGGGCTTGAGGAGAGTCACAGTTAGAATTAGGGTTGGAATTAAGAGATGAAAAATAGGATTTCTAAGACTTGAGAGACTGATTTGATGTAGGGCGGGATTAAGATGCAAGACTGTGGGTTGACATGTTTTTAATGTGGGCAGTTTATTAATAGAAAGTCTTGTCTGTTAGAAGGTGAGACATGTTGCCCTTGAGACAGTATGTGGAAAGCAAAATAGAAATACCTAATAGGCAATAGGAACTCAGCAGAGAGATCACGGCTAGAAGATTAGCTTAGGAATCATTCAGTATGGAAATGGAATATATCACCTCTTATGTCTGTAATGTAAGAAGGCTGAAACGTCAACTTTTAAAGCAGACAGAAGAAGAATCAATAATTAAGACTGAGAAGCAGGCTGAGGCCAGAGAGCAGCCAAGCCAAATGTCATGTTTTAAAAGCCAAGAGGTGAGCATTCATGAAAGATGGAAAACTAAAGTAAAAGTAGGACTAAAAGGTATGGACTTGGCAAGGTCATTGAAGACTGTTATGGTCTGAATGTGGTTTTTTGAGACAGTTTCACTTTGTTGGCCTGGGTAGAATACACGGCATGGCAACGCACTACAACCCTGGGCTTAAGACATCCTC